GTGTGTGTGTGTGTGTGTGTGTGTGTGTGTGTGTGTGTGTGTGTGTGTGTGTGTGTGCGCGCATCTCCAACTTGTTAGAGAAAGGGTGTTTCACTGAGTGGGAATGCCTGGTAGGATGTGTAGGCCCAGGTTGCCATAGCAACCATCTGCTGCTACGCTCGCAAGCGTTCGCCGGCAGCCCACACAGTGTGACATCCAGCAGCAAGCCAGTCTTACAGAGAAAGTAACACTGTGACTGAAAGCTTACATTAAAGAGCCAAAAATAAGCAAACACAAAAAATCCCAAAAAACAGTGAATTAGTTTCACTTCACGTCCACGTAAAGGTGAATTTGTTTAGAAAATGTAAGTGCAATAAATTCTTTAGGAATGCTGCTATAGTGGTGACAGAAGGAGGAGAGGTGTGCAGCATGTGAAACACAGCAGACTTTGGCAGATTATAGAAGGAACAGAAGGATGTAAAGCTGCTTTAAATGTTCAGGATTTGTGAAGTTTGGTAAAGGATGAGGATGGTTAAAGCCGCTCACAGGCAGGCAGCAGGTAAAAGTCAGAGTGTGGTGCGGGCCTAAAGGAGCCGCAGTGTCATCGCTAGGGCCATTGAGTTTAAAAAAAAAACATGGCAGGAAACTGGTGGTGTTTCTTCCACAAAGCTCAGGAATGGATTGCTAATATGTTCTAATTGAGACCATGAATAATTTATCAAGAAAAAAAATTGGCTCACCACTTCAATCTCTTGACTTTCTCTTGTTTAATAATTCTATCTATCTCAAGCAAGTACAGCTTTACAGCACACTATAAAATATGCAAAAAATAAAAATGTATGCACTCTGCATAAATCACACACACAGCACGACATAAATAACACTTTGCTGAGACTTTATGTGGGCTTTCTGACAAATCTAATACAACTCTTGCGAGGGGGCTGGCGGAGGGGTTGGGGCGAAATAAAAGTCTTCAATCCAGAAAACACACGATGGTCATACACAGGATATCAGTTTGTGCGACAAACAATCCAAATGAGGGGCAGGCAAAAGTCAAGCCATATTTAAACAGAAATCATTAATAATCTAACAGGTGGCAAGCAAACAGCTAGAGGCTTATATACTCCACGGAAGCTGATGACTAATTGGAAACAGGTGTTGCAGACTAAACACAGGTCACACTAATGAGGGCAAACCATTAGACAGGAAGTACAACTGACAACAGTGTAAACATACTGACACTGATTAGGTTTTGGAGGACTTGGGTATAAAAGCTAACACCACTCTAACACCATGCAGTTATTGACATTTAACACTATTTTATATATTCATAATATATTCTTCTGAACTATAATTAACAACTTAGTCTGTTCTACTCAAGTGAAGTGTTATAGTTTGTCTGGTGTTACATTAAAAGTGTCCCATCAGCAGTGTTGGAGCCTAGCTTAATGCTAAGCTAGCAGCTGGACCACACAGATGATTCTTGAGTCATGCTAGCTTTTGGTGGGGAAGGGCCACACCATGTGAATAACTTGTTATTATTATTGTTATTGTATGCCCATACGACAGTACTGTTTGGCCTGTTCATGAAACTGGAATGATAAAATGCTTTTATAAGGTGTGATAGGTGCATAAATGCTAACAATAGGTTGTTTTAGCCCATTGGTAGGTGGTTGCTAGGTAACATGATGCTGTTTATAATTCATCATGAACAATTCAGTTTTTGTGGACATATGTGAGATGTTTTTGTTGTGGAATAAAAACGATACCACACCTCATTAAAAACATGTTAGGTACATAAAAGCTAAAAACTGGTCATTTATTCGTTTGTTGCCAGGCAGTGTAGTGACATCATAATATATTATGTGTAATTCTACTGTTGTGGGTATAAATATTACATTAATGCTGTGTAATTAACGTGATATCAAACCTTTCTAAAACGTACTAGATCCTTAAATGCCACTAATAGGTCATTTTGCCTGTTGCTAGGCAACATGATGATATCATAATATCTGATATGGATAAAAACTTGGTAGCCTAAGATGTGCCTGTGTGCCAGATTTGGTTGATTCTTGATGTTGTGGGACTTCATAAGCAAATAGATTATTGTTATCGTTATCATTATTATCAGTAGTAGTCTAACATGTGTTTACTTTTCTTAATAGAGGCTAAAATGGTTCATGACTATTTAATAAAACTAAAGTAAAGACATTTCAAAGCTTTTCCCTTGGTACAAAATGCTAACAACAGCAATTAAAATATGAAACCTAATCACTTTTTACGGGGGCAGAGAGTAAACACATACATCCATCCTCCTACCTTTATCAGGGTCACAGGGGTTGGAGTCTAGCCTGTCTAGAAGAGGTATACACTGGACAGGTTTCCAGTCTGTCACTGGACTGTGAAAGACAGATTATTTATGAACAATTTGTTAATTAATTAACCTAACCACCCTAACTACTACCTCCACACAGAAAGGATCTGGCCACATGATGAATTTGATCCCAGGACATCCCCGCTGTGTGGAAACAGTGCTAACCTCCTTGGTACTGTGCTGCTGTATCACAATCTGCTTCTTTAAACTTCTGTCCTTAAAAAAAAAAATCATGATTTGAAGTTTGAAATTTGAAATATTTGACAGGAACAGCTTGTCTGATTTGTTTTTTTCTCTGGTTGCATCTGTCTTGCAGATGCAGGAGGTGGGCAGTTCCCAGCGAGGCTCTCAGCGGGCCTTCAGCGTCCTGGATCGTTTGCTGCTCACACATCCTGTGTGGCTGCAGCTGTCACTCAACCAAGAAGCTGCCCTCTACATCCTGCTCAGAGAACCTGTCGGGGTGAGGAACTATCAATCATATTACTCATACTATTTAATCAGGTAAAACAATAATGAATAATCTTTTGTGCATACCAATGAACTGGATGGTTACATATGTAACTAAAAAAGCAGGATTTTGTAAAATCTTACGTGGATATGATTCCTGGCTCTCCCTGCTTTAGCTTCATATTTACTGAGGGTGGTCTAAATGTCCTCATCTAATTAACATCATCATCTAAGTACCACCAATCAACCTATTCATGCCAACTGCAATTCTCCACTAATTAAAATGAAATGTGTTTGATTGAAAACCATGAAAATTAACCTTAATCATGAAGTGGACATCAGCTCCTAGACCTGAGAAAACTAAAAAAATGTTCTGTTCTTATTTTCGGTGATTTTTTTTTTGTGCTTACAGACATTTCTAGTGCGCAAATGCAGCTCTACCCAGAGGAAGGTGCTGTGTTTGAGGGTGACAGCGGACAGAAGTGCCTCCTCTGTTAAGGAGTGCTTCATCTGTGAGGAGGACTCCAGTGAGTATAAAACAAGCTAAATTATCAGCCAACTGCAGTTGAAGCAATACACATAACACTCAACACATCCACAGCTGCCAAGAGTCAGGCTGAGTGAGATCAGGGGCGAGGGGATGTGGGGGAGAGGGCTTGTGGTGGAGTACAGCAGGGTTGGACTCTTATTTTTTAGAAATTACCTACACAGCCACTAAGTTGTCATCTTTGTACCTCTAAAAAAAAGACCATGTCAGGCTTGTTTTTACGTCTTTTTAGATGTGCACAAACGAAATTAACTGATAATTATTTCATCATATCACATGTAATATTCAAAATTAGCCTTTTTATAAAACATAATGATCTGTTGTGAGGGCCTGGGGCAGGTGGAGGTATGCACTGGAATGAAAGACAAAAGAGAATACATGTGTGAATGAGAGGGAGACAGGTGGAAACGTGAACATGCAAGGAGCAGAGGACGTAAAGAGGGAGGAGTTTAAATAAAGCAACAGAAAAAGCAATAGGAGAGTGAAGGGAGGGGTGGAGGGAGACGGGTGTCTTGGTGATTTGTGACAGAAGGATAGCAGCAAGAGTAAGAGGGAAGGTTTACAACAAGATGTATGGTTTGGAGACAGTGGCACTGACAAAAGCACAGGAAGCAGAGTTGAAAATGTTAAGATAGACAAGCACGAGACGGTTTGGATGTGTGCTGAAGAAGGATAGTATACAATGTTGAATATAGAGCTGCTGGACAGGAGGAAAAGAGGAAGACCTCAGAGGAGGTTCATGGCTGTAGTGAAGAAGGACATGTTTGAAGTTGGTGTGACAGAATATTGGGTTAGGGTGAGATGGAGCTAAAAAAAAATTGAAGTAGGGACCCGTAATGGAGCAGAAAGGTGGTACAATGATACAAATCATTGCTACTTCAAAAACTTCAAACTTCAAAAAGCAATAAACGAGAAAACTTTTTACTTTACACATCAATCTGTTAAAAAGAGCAAAACAAATGGCTTTACAGAGGATGGCTGCACTGCTCTCTGAGATGCTCGAATGGATCATGCTGCTGTTGAATGCAGCAGATATTCAATAAACTCAGAGAAAAGTTCATTAAATAAATCCAGTAATCAAATAAATCAATAAAACAAAGTAAACTTTAGTTTCTGTTAAAGGCTTGTCAGAAATGGATTACATGTATTACTGGTGAAGGTCAAACCTGCTACAAACTCATCACAGTGATTTTCTGCTCTCTTGTAGAAATTTCAATGTGTAATAGATGAAAAATGTAGAGTCGAGTAAACAAGGCAAAACTCAACATCCACGAAAGTCGATCTGTGATGTTGGTGAAGTTTGGCGAAGTGTGCATCCACTAACTAAACAAACTAAACTGCAGTCTGGTGCTTTCTGTCATGTTGGTGTTCAGACTGTCGAGAGAAAGCCTGTTTAACATGGATTACTTTTCATAAAGGCTTCTTTTCGTGGCTTCCTCTTAATTATTGGAGCGAGATTTGTTTTGACAGCATGAGAGTGTGAGACAGACTGAAAACAGGTGTCTCATGTCAAAAGTGTGAGAGTTGACAACCCAGTCAGCGTTTGTGGCGCAGCGCAGCTCAGACACTCTCTCGGTGAAGTGATGTGGGCCGGAGAGGATGGGTCCTCCAGATTTTTTTTTGCAACTGGCACATTTCCTGTTAAAGCTGAACGAGTGTCCCACTGCTCCCATTAGCTGTCAATCAAACTCTGTCTGTGTATAACCAGCGTTCGCCTTGGAGAGCTCAGCACTCAGCTTCCCTGACTTGTGTCGACTGGTGGCCTTCTACTGTATCAGCAGGTAATAATATTATAACTGATAATAAATCTCAATCATTCTTCTTGCTAACATTCAACCTCACTGGCCTATGCAGAGTCCTCACTTCACTATGGATGGCCGAATGCCCAAATCGTATTTCTTAACAGAAGTGGCAGATCTCCCCTATTGCCTTTGCACCTAAATGGGAGCAAAGTCTTTGCACGCTGGGTCCTAAATCTTCTTCTGCATCTTGATGCCCACTGGTTTTTAAAACCAGTTTTATTCCCGTAATTTTTAGCTGTCCACAGACTTCCTTGCATGTAGTAAAATTGACTGTATCTAGTTTTAACTTTCTGATCTCACATATCGTCAAACTTGAACTCTTCTTTTTCTTTGATCTGCAGGGATGTGTTGCCTTTGCCTCTGCAGCTACCTGATGCCATCGTTAGAGCGTCAACACACAGGCAGCTGGAGGCCATCTCACACATGGGACAAGGTCGGTCACTGGTGGCCTCTTTAAAAAATAAACTGCAGCAGCAGGTACATTCGCTTGCTCCAAATAAAAAGTGTTACTTAACGTAGATCAGCATTTTTGGGTCAGCCTGTCTAATTGTCTAAATTGCCTAAATACTTCAGCCCAACAGAGCTGCTACCATAAGGTATTTCCTATTTGTCCTACTCTCTCATAATTCACTAACCAGAGGTGGGGGTGGGGCTGTTGAGGGTTTTTTCCCCCTTTAACACTGAACCTAAATGAGATTTAAGGACTTTAAAGATGTGTTCAGGACGAGATCGCTGACAGAAAACCAAAGTTTGAGAAAATGAGAGAGTAAAGTAATAGCTGACTAAAGTGGTGGCTGCCAGCTTGCGTCTATTTTTAAATGCGCGGCATGCTTCTGTAGTGCAGTGGGGTGTGACTTCATTGCGAAAAGTGATAACCAGACTCTTTCTCATCATGCTTCTCCAAAATCAGTCTGCTTCTGGATCAGCTTGCAGTAAAAAACACAGGTTAATGTTGTGTGTTGTGCTGTGTATTGTTTTAGTTTTCAAGCAGGTGAAACATTAAAAAATGGGAACGCTGTTTAAACACTTGTAAAATAAAGTACAATAAAGACTTACTCAAATATTTAAGTTATCTCCCCTCTCCTGGTTTTTCAATTAGACTTCTGGAGTTCACCGAGTGCTTCAGACATCCAAAATGGACCGATGGAGCCAGTTGCATCCACCAGTCAGGCCCAGACTGGGGTCCAGGACCGATGTCCCCTGCTGTCAAGGGGCACACAAGGCAAACTGTGCTTCATTAACCCGCTCTTTCTGCAGCTGGAGGTTTGCAAGGTTAGTTGCTTAGAAGCTTTCTCTGAGACCTTTCAAGGACACCCGTTGGTGCTTTTCTGGCCTCTACAAGTGCTCTAAATCGAAACGTCCCTGCAACTGATAAATAACTACACCCTGCACTTTACTCTTATAGATAATCACTTATAGAAAAATAAACAGTTCATCAATCTACCCTTGAATCCATTTCCTCCCTTTTTACAGCAGCAACAGCTCACAAACCACAGTGCCTCCAACAAACGGCACCGCTTCAAGCGCAGCATGCGGCTCCGGCTCTCTGAGTCCTCCATGAATCTGTCCCTCGAGGGGGTTGGTTCCTACTCACCTCCCCTTTCGGTTGAGCAACCTGGTGGGTCAGAAAGGCTGAACAAGACCAACGACAACCCACAGAGGAGAGTTCACGCCGGTGCAGGCGTCCTGAGGAGAACTCCTGCTGTTTCACCTGGATCTGCTGAGGAGGATGACCTGATGTCTGTCTATGTGCCACAAGTAATAAGAGTCAGGATCTTTATTTGCACGTCAAAGCATGCTTATACTGATACGGATATGTGAGCACACCTCCTTTCTGTCTTGATTTATAGTAAATATGTCGCTTTTCACATCATGCAATAACTTCTCCTCTCTTCAAGACATCTCCCAAGGTGGAGGAGCCTCCGAAGCCAAAGCCGTCTGGCTCAGCTGAGGAGCCAGGCATCGAGGTGGCACTTCTGGCCATGGAGCGCCGCCCGGCTCCATCTTTGGCTGAGCTCGACAGCAGCAGTTCCTTCAGCAGTATGGATGAGGACCATGACTCAGACACGGAACCTGAAAGCATGTCCCAAACCCAAATGCACGCCTACCATCGCCCGCCACTCTTGCGCTCTCGAGGTCGCGGCGGGCTGCACCGCATGAGCGAGGCATTTGTGTGCTTCTTTGCACCAGACAAGCGGCTCACCCGGCTGGTGGAAGAGCTGTCCAGAGACAGGCGCTCAATCTTCGGGGGTATCATTCAGGACTTCCTCCTAGAGCAGAGAGAGGTGCTCAAATCCCTGACGTCTTCGCCTTCGGCATCGTCCTCATCACGCGTGACCTCCGTGCAGCTTCTGCAGGGTCTGCGCCTCTTTCTGTCCCAGGCAAAGTGTTGCCTGCTGGACAGCGGAGAGCTGGAGCCTCCCATTGAAACCCTGGTGCCAGAGAACGAGAAGGGTAAGCAAATGCAAACATAATTAACATGCAAATACACTCTGATATGAAACACGGTGCATTTAAAACATAGTTTGATCTGTGTTTTTGAAATTTCTCTAAGCTGGAGCTGGAGCAGGTTTATTAGCAGAATCTTATTCCATTGAGGAACATTTAGTTTTTACTTTGTTACACAAATTAAAATAACTGGAATTCAACATGAAGTATTTTTTAGTTCAGTTTCCTCCTGAGGGTGTTTTGTGGTGTCCTGATGGTTGCTTTGAGTGGCCTCTGTGGATCCGAATTGTTTTGAGCTCATTGCACAGATTGAATGTTGTTGTAGAGAATTTGAGGTGAAGTCAGTTCTCATAGTTCGAGCTGAAGACGTGAGCATTGTCCTGCTGGCCTTGCTTTGTGCTCTTGCCATGGTGGGGTATTCCTAGTCGCACGATCTGATATCGTCATGTTGGTGTTGTTCCCAGATCAACATAGTAAATGTTGTTCCAGGATCAACATTGCAAGTGACCAATCAGAATGTTGTGACGTCATACTTTTGCGACTTCGGGAAAAACCGCCATAAAACAAAAAACTGTACTTAAGCTGCGAGAAACCGCCTCTGTCCGCCGATCAACGGACCCTGACCCTGACCCTTTAATAAACAGTAAGCAGAATTGATATTGTCCTTGCAACATTGGAATTTCATAAATGCACGAATGGCTTGGCGCGCCAAAGAATAACGTCACAACAATGTGATTGGTCACTTGCAATGTCGATCCTGGAACAAAATAGTAAATGTTGTTCCAGGAACAACACCAAAACAACGATATCAGATCATCCATTCCTAGTCTGCTAGACCTGTGCCATTTTTTTCTATTATCTGGATTCACTTATTCTTACACTGGCGATCAGGATAAGCAATCACACGAAGGTCGTTATCAGCTCAATGAGTTAAACCAGGCTTTATCAATCTAGCTACAAGTGTGTTCACAGGAACGGGTTGGTGTTGGCAGCATCCTGCTGATCATAATCATGGATAACAGTGCAGGCAGCAGAGTGGAGGATTTTTACGAAGGAAGATAAAAGTACAATATTACAAAAAAACATATGAAGAGGTTACACACACAATATGGGCTGAAAGTGACACAGCTGCTACAGACAAATCAGCCATGTGTGTGTGTGTGTGAGAGAGATAGAGGACAAACTCTGTACGGTAGTTTAGGATTAAAAGTAAGTAAAGAGTGACAATATTCACAAAGTTTAATCTATTTAAAGACACGAAGGAGAGCCCATCTGCGTGGGTTAACAGACTTCTCAATATCACAACTTTATCACCTGCTGCTCCAAAGGGGTTTAATGTTCTCTGAGCAAGTAAAGAAAAAATGCGGCATGAATTTGATATAAAGTCCACAAGTATACATCCGTTTCCCATTTCAGAATCATATCCTGATGCTTATAGAGCAATAAAATTGATGAAAAATTGTAGTCAGTTTTAAAAGAAAGAGTCTAAGAATCTGTATCAGTTACTGAAACACAGAGACTTCACGCTCTATTAAAAAACTTTAGACCCTCCAACTGTCCACAAACAGAGGTCTGAAGGATCTTCCAGGAACGGTGATGCTATTTTCCAGAGAACTGATTGGCTGTGATTTCATACATGATGATCCCCCATGTGGAGATAAAGCCACACACCCTTATTAGAAGAGGGCCTCAAAAACTCACAAAACATCCATATAAAGGCTAAATTTCCTTTTAGTGAGATGATCAGTGTTATCCATTCAACTGTGAGTCTTTTCAGTGCTGTAGTTGGTACTGCACTGCTGGTCCTCTGCTTCTATAGCGTGGTCATTTTGTCAATAATCTGATTGGTGTGGATGATCCTCCCCACCCCTCCCCCCTGGCAGCCCCGCTCCGATTGGACTGTTCAATCCTTTCACTTCCTTAGCATGTATCTTCAAAAGCGCTTCACACCTCAAAGCAAAACTAAACAGTTAAACATGATTGTACGACATTCAGTATCTTTCAGTTTGAGCCACAGAGGAGCTCAAAGTAAGTTTGCTTCGCCGAGGGAAGGATTCGATCAAATTTAGCTGACTGTGCTGGATCACAGTCTGAGCACAATATCCTCACCACCCTTTCTCATATGAATGCTTGATTGGTTTATCACATTTAAAAAAGGAGGCGATGGTGAGTGCACCGAGGGACCGAGGAGAGATAGAAATGTGTAAAACAAAGCAAAAAAAACCAACAAACTGTACTATTAGAAAACAGTGATTCAATAGACACTGTGCCAGAGGATGCAGGTCTGTGGAAACAGACAGCCTTTTCTGATAAATGGTGGGCTGCTCGGGCTCCAGTGAAAGGCACTGTCAACACAAAGTAGTTTGCGTAGGGGGGCGGTTGGGGGGGTAGAGTCTCATTCAGTGGAGCTCATATTGTCTCTGGTATTTAGAAAATAGCATTAGGAAAGCCCGGCCCGACGCGCCTGCACTCACATCCATCGCATTCAAAGCGGGACTCGTCTCATTATTGTAAAGACATCGCAGGGTGTTACTCTGGAAGCATTCTAGTTAGATCTTTTGACACGCTCCTCTGCGTAGGTTTGGTCGTGTTTGGACTGCTTTGTGTGTGGCCGAGCGTTTGCGCGTGTGTGCGTCTGCGCTCGCAGGTGCGTGTGCTTGTGTGTAAATGTGTGATGACGGATGGTTGCCTGGCTTCAGAGGCTTCAGGGGAGAGCGGTCGGCCGTTGCCTTCCGTCCTCCCTTTCCTTCCTTCCTTCCTGCGCTGCGATTTTGATTTATCTCGCTTTGCGTCGGTGGGAGGCATTTGCATTTTTTTTTTCTCCCCCTCGTTTATCATAAAAAGATATCACAGTCCCACGCTCACTTGAAGAGCAGCACGATTCAGAGGAGGGTGGGAGGGAGAGATCGAAATAGGCAGGTTACTTTGAAAATGTAATCAGTTACTGAACTGTGAGTAACAACTCAAAAAATAAAAGGGAAAAAAAGAGAGAAAAGAAAAAGTCAGCTTTTTTTCTGTACCTTGGTTGTAATCACATTACATGTAATCTATTACTCTCCAGAGCTGTGTGTGTGAGAGAGAGAGAGAGAGATGGAGCAGAGAGGGAGGTGGATAAACAGAGACTAGAGGGTGGGAATGATTGATCACAAGGGGGAGTGCTATAGTGAGGTAGATGGGGGAGATGTTCAAGGATTATGCAGCAGGGAAACATGAAGCATGGAGAGGAGGGAGTGGAGGATATTGATGATGAGTGGAAAAACAGTGTGCACTGGAGAATTGTTACCCACTTAGTCAGGACTGCCCACTGACTGCAGGAGAACCACCGAGTGTGTGTTTTTTACACGTGTAAGGGAAGGCTCGCATGTGAACCGTTACATGTACACGAGTTCACTGTTGTCACCCCAAAACAAAATGAAAAACAAAAACAAAAAAAAACAAAAACACACTCCTGAGCTTTTCAGAGGATGAGAAAATGTCATTTCTAATTACATGATCAGCGAGGTTTAAACGGGTCGTTTAACATTTGCAGAAATATGCTCGTTTCTTCATTGGAGGCAGGTTTTAAAGCGTCTTTTATCTTTAGGGGAATGTAAGTGAGGACCTGCTGAACAGAAAGCTAAGGTTTACCCTTATTTCAGTTCTGTGACATCTGTGAAGCACTTCTCTAAGAATTGTGGGTAAGCAGGCGAGACTAGAGCGAGGAGGGAGCCAGGTTTGTGCAAGCGAGGTGGAAAATTGGCTGGGAGATACAAAGGAGTTCCCAGAAAAACTAACAAAGATGAGAAAGTATAGCTTATGCCTGCTGCTAGTTAGAGCCACTATTGTAGTTTCTGGGATCCCTAGTTTATGTAATGAATACACAGTATTGCCAGAAGTATTCATTCACCCATCCAAATCATTGTTCAAATTAAATCCATGACCACAGGTGTTTAAAATCGAACACCTAGGCCTGCAGACTGCTTCTACAAGCCGTGATAGGACGTCACCTGTGCAACCAGTCCAGTTAATAAATTTCCTCACTGCTGTTAGTGGTATTATAAGTGGAAGCGATTGGGAACGACAGCAACTGAGCCATGAAGTAGTAGTCAAAGGTTCAGTCGCATAGGAACGCGTAATGCTTCAGCACATCAACACGTCCAACATTTTGGACAGTTAAATGTTCCCAACCTTGGCAGCAGTTTGGGGATGTCCCCTTCCTGTTCCAACATGACTTTGCACCACTACACAAGACAAGGTCCATAAAGACATGAATGAATGAGTGTGCTTTGACAGAACTTGACTGACTTGCACAGAGTCCTGACCTCAGCCCCAAAAAACACCTTTGGGATGAATTAGATTGGAGACTGAGAGCCAGGCCTTCTCGTCCAACATCAGTGTCTGACCTCACAAATGCTCCTCTGGAAGAATGTTCAAAAATTCCCACAAACACTCCTAAACCGTGTGGAAAGACTTCCCAGAACAGCTGAAACTGTTATAGCTGGTATTATTATTAATTATAATGATACTATGCAATCAAAACTGCCAGGATGTTTGCCATAAATTATGGAAACTTGTTTCTGCCACTAAAAAGACTCAAAAATTCGATTAAATCTAAAGTTTCAATTTTGAGATAAAATCTCAATTTCTTTTGATTTAGCTCTACCTGCTAATAATTTGTAACTTTCAATGATGGAAATAAGCGTTCACAATAAATTGTCAAAAGGTTGTAGATCGTCTTTTGTTTGTTTGTTTTTTTTATCTTTTTTACACGGCATCTCACCACCTTCAGTCTTGCCAGGCTTTAACACGCCCAAAGCGATGAGAGATGATCGAAATGACAGTCTAGACATTTTTTTCTTGGAGCAGTTATGTGCTGCTGTAACGATGTCTTGACCAAGAATAGCAGGCACAAATCCCAGTCTCAGTCTGCAGCCAGAGGAGGACTGCTGATCACTTTGATTTGTGTTACCTTGAAACGATTCCTGTGTCTCTGCAAAGGTTTGTGCTCTGAGAAAAGGGTTAATGGAAAAACTGTGCCGGGAGGTGAACTGCAGGGAGGGTCGCTTTCAGGTTAATGTGACCATGCAAAATAGGAGCTGTTTCTACAAACACTCACTCTGCACTACAGCAGAAGAGTTTGAACAACATTTCACTCAGCAATAATCTCCCGAATCCAAAGCACATCTGATTTTATATGATGTGAGGCAAAACAGAAAGCACACAGTCAAGTACAGTACGCTCTGTAAGTAATGTGTGTTAGTAGTTAAACCTTTTAAGGCTGTAATTTGTGTTTCTGTGGATCGCTCCATTAAGCGTACTTTGTCAGATCCATTGCTATCTGAATTATTATTTTCCTCTAAATGAAGGTTCTAAATAAATAATCTAAATAAAAATTTGAAACCAGACAATGGGACTTGACACAGCGTGGGCGAGATCATTAAAAAAAATCAAGCCAATGTTATTTGTTGGAATTTTTTTTATGTATTTTCATATATTTGTCTGTTTTCTGAAGGTAATTTTACTTTATGTGCACTTTATCGCAGGTCACTGGATGATGGCTGAGTATTTGAGAGCAGTAATCGTTAAAATAAATGTAGATAAAATGTTACGGTCCCTAATGGTCCCCCGCCCCCCACTTAGACATTTCCAGGATTTTGTAAATGGAGTGGCAGTGGGCTGGGATGCAGAGCCAGCCGTGGGGTCTCATGGGAAATCAGGAACAAATACTAAACCGAACCACTTGAAAATTGGTTAAAATTTCAGCAAGGTTAATGAGGTCATTATTTTAATTGATTTCATTAATCCATTAGCATCAGGATTGTTACTGCGCTGCAGCATGGGTGTTGATACCGTACAGGGAGGCAGCACTGAAGCACAAGACTCAGGTGTGAAGTAAAAAAAGTTCTTCTATTGACTAGTGAGCATAAAGAACAGTGTCTCAAATATGCTTTCTTTTAAGTTCACTTTTGCAACGTTTATTTTACTGAACTGTGGTTTTATCTTGCTTGTTGTGCAAAGCACATTTACTTTTAACCTTGTGGCTTTTAAATGTGCCATAGAAAACAACTGACATTGGCATTTATCTAGAAATATTAAACTGAATAAATTATAACATTTAAAGCTCATATACAGCCCTGCCTTTGCAGATTTATTGTGTGAAAAGTGAAACTGCATGAGAATTTATACACAATCTTGTGATGAATAGTTGTTTTACAAAGTGGAAAAAAGAATTTAGATATTTAACCTAAGTAACAGTTATAATCCCATTTAACTAGCTTAATAGTTCAAATATATGTAAAGTACCTGAAGTAAATGTACTAATGATGTTTTGGGGTTATAATTATTGATTTACTGATGTGTGAATCTCTTTAATTTGCAAAATAAGAAGTAACGAAAGCTTTAAAAACAAATGGCGTATGAAGTGGAATAATTGCATTCCAAGTATAGAATACATGGAAATATTTAAATGTAGTACAAGTACATTAAATCTACGTGAAGTACTTGAGTAAATGTACTCAGTTACATTCCTACTAGTCCTATCTGTGCTCTCATCCAGTGGTATCAGGAACTACAAGATTAACATTCCTGTGGTGGGGGAATCACATTTTGAGGGTGGGCTGGTGCCCACCCATGCCCACCTTCTAGACACGCCTCTGCAGAAGACCAAACCACAATATAGGAGGGGGAGCCAATTTTTTAATTGTATTTTTATTGTTTAAATATAAAATTACCTGAAGAATTTTGAGTGGTTGTTGTTATATTTATAGTTATATTTACAGTGATGCACAGTGGAACAACACTGTTCCTCACCCAAAAAGGTGATTACGTCATTTGGAAGAAGGTGCGGCCCCAAGATCCTCTTCTAGAGACGTACCTTTGTTTTAATTTCCATGGGTGCTTCTCAAAATGCAGGACAGAATAAAAACTGGAAAAAAAGCTTTTCTTCTGCTTTTTCTTAATTTAAAAGGAATTTCATGCATTATGAAAAGTGTTGCTGCAGACCTTTCTGTGTCAGTATTTCCCAGTTGCACAAAACACAAAAATTAGTTCCCTTCCATCCTTGTGCATCAGTTTGTCAGAATAAATGCTGGTTTTCCCGAATAACAAGCCCCTCCCCTTTTTCGCAGACCTGGCGTTGGAGCGCTCCATGTTCTCCTGTGTGCTCAGGCCTCTGAGGTCCCACCTCGAGAAAGCCCTGGTCGCTTTGCACAATCAGGACGGCTCCACCCAGCGTCTCACCCAGAACCTGCTCCGGCTGAAAGGGGACGCCACCATGGAAAGGCTCGGTGTTCGGACGGGCGTTCCAGACAGCCGAGAGGTGGAGAGGGTGAAGCAGAAACTGGTCCTGATGCAGCGGACGCACTCGCCCATCGACAAGGTGCTGCTGCTGCTCCAAGTGTGCAAGTGTGTGCACAAGGCCATGGGGTCCTTACACGGTGAGACTGCTGGATGCTGCACAGACAGAAACACGGGTAGCCAGAGATGGAGTCACTTCAGCTGGAGTTTTATGTGGATTTATGATGTTTTTAGTTAAAGATCAAGTTTGAGACTGGAGACTTTTCACTTTCTGTAGCGTTTACAGATAAAGGGCTTTGTCGCTGCTGCTTGTGATCCTGGCTGTAAAAAAAAAAAAAAAAGAAAGACGAAAAAAATGAAGGTCAGGCGTCTCTGCAGAGCCATTCTTCACTGTCAAAACCTTCATATTTCAAACTGTATCTGTGTGGGCAGCAGCGCAACCTGCTTGCTTTTGTACACTTGTTTATTTGGTACAATGTTCATTTCAAGCTGTCAGAAAGAACGATGACAGCCTCTTCTTTTCCTTTCCTTCTCTTAATATATATGCAGGACAGGAAGTTAGCTGGGACGACTTCCTGCCGTCGTTGTCTTATGTGATCGTGGAGTGTAACAAGCCTCACATCCTCATAGAGGTGGAGTACATGATGGAGCTGCTGGAGCCCTCATGGCTCGGAGGAGAGGGTAGGTCCTAAACTGTGGCATCGGTCGCACCGCAACACTGTATCAGGTCGTCCCAGGATCTCTTTGGTACAACAGCCATCATTAAACCTCTGTTACTGTGCAGCGCAGGAGCAGCTATCACAATAGTTTTGTTACATTTGCTGTCTTTGTTTTGGGACAGCACAGTGCTGAGTCAGGTTATTTTTAATCACCGTCTGTAATAGCCAGACAACATAAACATTTGATGATATAACAATCAAAAGTAATTTATGGGCCAAAGGCCAAATAGGACCAAATTACCTTCTCAGGTGCTTTTGATTCCTCTGAGTTTGGGGGTCAACCATCCAAAGCAATAAACAATGCACGAGAGAGATAAAAAAGAGAGTGTAGGTAGGGTGGCGGGGATGGAGACAAGTCTCAGGGGTGATTTATGACAGAAGGATGGCAGCATGAGTGAAGGTTTACAAAATGGGAGTGAGATCTGCTGTGATGTATGTTTTGGAGACGGTGGTACTGACAAAAAGACAGGAGACCGAGCTGGAGATGAAATGAGTAGATCAGAGCGACGACGCAGGTTGAGCAGTTTGGAGAGAAAGTTAGAGAAACAAGGGTCAGAGGGTTTGGACATGTGCAGAGGAGGAAGAGTGGATATATTTGACAAAGGATGTTGAAGGTGGAGTTGCCAGGCAGGAGGAGAAGAGGAAGAGCACAGAGGAGATTCATGGGTGTAGTGAATGAGGAGTGTTGGTGTGACGGAGGAGGATAGGGTGAGATGGAGGCAGATGACCCGCCGCAGCATCTCATAAAGGAAGCAGCTGAAAGAGGAAGAAGAAATCAAATTGTATCCAGACTGGAATATTTTTAAGTGCAACCTTAAACTGTTTTTAAAAAGGTCATTGACAAATGATTTGGTGTTTTTTTGTTGTGTGAAGCTTTTCTTATGTGTTTTTGATGGCAATGCAAATTAGTCTAACAAACACTGTGCTGTTGGACTTCTACTAATACTACATACCTATTCCCATATAAAGAAAAGTGACTTTAATGAATAAATTCGATTAGTAGAAATAAAACACTGATGCAAAACTTTTGTAGATACTTGGATGTATTTGACAATCAAAAATCGTCAGGGATGCAGGAGAGAGGACACAAGTGTGAAAATGGGAAAGGAAGACAAACAGGAATTAAAACCAGAAGAGACACACAAAAAAAGCTAACCTTTCAATCTAAAACAGGAAGTTAAAGATGAAAAACTAACAAAAGACAGAAAGAAGGAACACAGGTACCAGATATTATGAAGGTTTATGACAGCTAGTTAATTTTTTTCCTGGTTTCAAAAATACACATTTTCAAATATTACCACAAATCTGCGTTTGATGATTCACATTTTACTCGCTTTTTGTCTTAAAATTGCACTGACTGTTCATAATCTACTCTGTCTTATTTGTATTTTGGTAGCTGTTACTACATTATTATTATATTATTATCCTCTATTATTAATTCGTACCTCTGACTTACACAGGAAGAGTGTAGGAAGTGAATTTAGGAAGTAAATAACAAAAAAAAGAAAAATCTCTTGAAAGCAGAACATGGCAGTGAAGTTTAAGACAATCTTTTTAAGGACAGAGTAGGAGGAAGTACTATGTGATGCAAGATTTAGTCCTGTTTTTACACTCTTTTTCCCTCCTACACCTTTTTCGCCTACAGGTGGCTACTACCTGACCAGCGTGTACGCCAGCCTGCGTCTGATCCAGAGCCTGGACAAGGAGCAGCCGTTCTCGGGCTGCCTGACGCCAGAGGTCCAAGAAGCGCTGAAAGAGTGGAGCTGCAGACGGAGCCGAGAGGCCCAGAGACAGAAAGAGAATCAGCAGAGCCAAGTAGGCGCCGCCTGCTTCGATTGTAGCAGTGCACAAGCCCTAGTAGCATTACATGTGGGTTTGTTGTGGAGTAATGTAGTATACAGCCTTCACACAAACCTCTCTTGTGTGAAATGGTGATTTATGTGTGGACAGCTGCTTATTATGCAGTGAGACAACTCTAATGGGATATTCTGGCCCGTGTGGACGACTTAACGGCAGAAACGGTTTAAAGACATGAAACTAAATCTTACAGGTGGATGAATGACGATCAAAAGAAAAACAAACACATGTGAGGCGGATGTCTTATTTTTTTCTTTCTTTAATCTGTTTTTCTACATGAAGGTTATTACAAACGCAGGGAATTGGATTAAACTGATAATATGGATAAAGAAGCGAATGCTAATCAGTAGTTTTGCAGAAATCTCCTTACAGTTTTGAGCTTTCTTGGATAACTCTGGTCAAGCCTGTAAAAGTGTGGCTTTTTATTCCATTTTTCTTGGGCTGGCTCCATAATGTAGTGGTTTGCACGTTTGCCCAACAAGCAGAAGATCTCTGGTTTGATCCCAGGAGGAGATGCAAATCCCTTTGAGGTTGAATCAGTAGGGGCATCTGGCATAAAGAAAATGTGCCAAATTAAACACGCAGAGCTACCCTGCTGTGGCACCCTGTTGGGAATTAGGGAGCAGCCAAAGTAAGCTTTTATTTTATTCTATACTTCTTGGCAGATTTTCTCAGCCTGATGGGATGCAAGGCGCCTATTCAGACCTCTCGACTGATGTTTTGTGGCATTTAAGTCTGGGATTTGATGGGGTCACTTAGGGACAGGCAGAGAGCTGCTTTGAGGCCACTCCAGAGTGGCTGTTTGGTTATTAGCTTCAAGTCACTGTCATGCTAAAAAGGTGAACCGTCGCCTGTTTGTCAGGTGGTTTATCTCCGTCTCTCTGCTCTGATCAGTCTGCCTTTCCCTCAGCTTGATGCTATTACCAAGCAGTGCCTGGCGTTTCCTGGACATCCACCATTTCACACACGCTGACACTCCAACGGATGGATTCAAGGGGGTTTAGGGGTGTCAGCACGGGGTTTGGTATCTTAACCAAGGATACTTAGACATGTGGCCTGGAGTAGTCAGAGATTAACCCATGGACCTTCTGATTGGACCTGCTGTAACACCTGAGCTACAGCTGCCCAGTGTAAGAAGCAAAGCATCAGACTTGGGTATTAAACAGTCTATCCCCTGCGCGCTCACCAGCACGTCTTAGATTGTAAGAAAGAGGAAGTAATTGTAGGAGCTGCTTGAAGTCTAATTCGCAGCAAGGATGTGGACATTTTATGTCCTGCATCCTGCACGCTCAGTCCTGCTGCTATTTCCAGGTTTAAGAAGACATCGGAGGACAACTATCTCCTGTCCCAATCTTTTTCTCTAAATGTTTTTTGGGGTTATAAGGCTCATCAGAACAGAATATCTATCCATCAAGGTTCCAGTTCAGGATGCTCGGACTGCAGGGCTAACACAGAGAGACAGACAGCTATTCACATTCACACCTATGGGCAACTTAGAATCATCAGTTACGTTAACCCCACTAACTGCATCTCTTTGGACTGTGGGAGGAAGCCAGAGTACCCGGAGAGAACATGCAAACGCCACACAGGTGGGGTCGAACCCAGTGAGGCAACAGTGCTAATCACCACTCCACCATGCCGCCTATCAGACCAGAACATCTTTTACTCAGATGTTCTCAAGCTGCAGGTTTTGTTCTATTTGCAGAGGAGTCTACTTTGGGGTTTTGATTTCACTCCCTTCACCAAGAAACTGTGTGTTTGATTTATCAGTTTGGCAGTTTCAGCATAATTACAGAGTTACTAGAAATAGCTTGTTTAGTAAATGTGAATACTTTCTGGATCTACTCTAGCTTACCTCATACAAGGGCCAAGACAAGTGTTTCCATGCAGCTGCAAAGCTTCTGCATGCTGCTTTGACTAGTGCTGGTGTTGGACAGCAGTATAGCTTTAACCATTTTCTGCACGTTTATGGATTAAACACAAAGCTGCACTCAGAAGCAGGCTACCCTGGCTTCGTCTTTGACTGTCAGAGAATAACAAAGCAAATCATCGCTTGATGGCACCAGTTAAAATCTCTTTTCTTCTGGCAGAACAATCAAAGTCTCTCTCGTATCAAACGTGTGGTCTTTGCAGCTTGGAGCGGCCAGCATCTGCTTAGAACTGTCACAGTGCACTTTGGCACATAAAAATTGCACAAAAGAAGCAAGCGACATCGAAAAAGAGGTGCTAATCCATCCAAAGAGGTCAGATATTACAGCACATTAATTACACTGATGGCAACACAGTGTTGAGCAACATCACACTGTCCTCTATCTGTGACTCTGGCAGGTGGGGTAGAAAAAAAAGGAGCAGTGACCCACATTTGACTCAAAGTTGATTTCGGGCATCACCGCTGAAGCTTCTTGATGAAGTCGGGGACAGAGCTGGAGTTTTTGGAAAGGCGGTTTTTAAATCAGAGGTGAAAGAGCACACCTGGATTTCCCTGTTTTGGTTTTCTGAGTGCAAACACGTTTCAAATTCATTTGGGGGGATTAGTTTTTAGACATTTTTAGAGGTAATCCTCTGATCTGGGGCCGCCGGCTTACGACCGGTCGTGCACTAATGCGTGCTCACACACACACTAACACACACGCACGCTGACTTTTTACCTACACTCTTCTATTATCACCCTGCTGGCCCCACGTTTGTGTAACGGTCCACCAGATGCCATGGAAAACAGGCATTGTCATCCACAACGTTTCTGTCTCGTCACGTGGTTCCTCTCCTGGCTTCAAATAGCCGATCTAACTCACCCGGCAGCCAGATTTTCCACTGACACAGGCGGGGATCAGTGAGCCAAGTGCTATGAAGAAGTGGGCGGTCAGATAACATGAAATTTATTGAGCTGCATCTACCCATCGAAGCAGGCAAACACAATATGCACACGGACAGCGAGGAGCTCAGTGACTCTGTAAGTTCTGATAATGGCTGACCTGTTGATTATATTTGCTACTGACTGCTTTTTCTTTCTTTTTTTCTGCTTCTTTTAAAAGCCACTTATTCTTCTGTGCTGTGTGTGTGTGTTGAGGGAGGCAGGCTGGATGGTTTGTCTGTTTGTGTGTTTCCGTGAGCGACAGGGAAGAGGATTCTCCCTGGTTTCTCAAGGTTGGATGTTTGGTAAAAAGGATTATGTCCCGCATGTTTTCACAGTGTGTGTGTGTGTGTGTGTGTGTGTGTGTGCTTTACAGAGAGTTGTGAGGGCGTCTGTAGGTGGTCGAATCTGACATTATATAATGGCTCAAGTGCCTGAAGAGCAGCGATTGTTGCGATAGACCTGTTAGTTTTGGGTTTGCTCGCTTTTTGCTCTGTGGAAAATGTGAAAAAAGTTTGTGTCTGCTGAGTGGTGGCGGTGGTGGAGGAGAGGGGGGGGGGACTTCAGCAGAGCACCAGAGCAGAGCGAGTTTAATGGATGATATTTGAGTTTGGAAGTGGACTCGCTCGAGTGGATTTATGCCGGGAGTTTGTCAGTGAAGCTGTAACATGAAGCAGAGCAGGGGAAAACAGAGCAGTTTCATGAAGATGGCTTTCGCATAAAGCTCTCGGACCTGCCGGCTGTGTGTGGGAAGCAGGAGCTTTGTTTAAGAGGCATTTTTCTTTCATGAACGTCCTTTTTCTGATTTTTTATTTATTTTTTGGCTCATTTATTGTGGCAGCGTATCAGCCCGTGCTTATACAGTCCTCACTCCTCCTCTGACTCCATCTCTCTCCTCCCCCTCGTTTGCCCTCACTCCATAAGCCTCTTGACCTGTGTTTTGCATAAATACAGTATATATATTCACTCCTTTTCTCTCTCTCCCTCTCTTTCTCTCTTCCTCCCTCCCTCGCTGCCTCCAGAGGTGCGTTCGGATACTGTTCCAGGACGGGGAGCGGAGCGCCGTGCGGACGTTGCAGTGGAGAGCCGGGGAGACGAGCCAGGCCCTGGCGCAGCTGTGTGCCGCCACCTTCGGAGTGTCCGACCCGCAGCAATACACCCTGTACTGGCGCAGCGGCGGCGAGATGAGGGCCCTGCCGCCCCAGGCCCAGCCCCAGGACCTCGCCAGCCACAGCGAGGGAGGCCCCTCGCTCTCCTACCTGAGGACCGACCACGACTTCAGCAAGATGCGGCGGCTCACCAGGGGTGGCGCCGTGGACCTGAGCGAGTCGGTGTGTGAGGAGTGAGTGGGAGGCATAGAGGAGGAAGGAGGAGGAAGGAAGGAAGGAAGGAAGGAA